CTGCAGGCTAGGAACATGTGACTCTCTAATCTTTATATGGAATTGTGTGAATATGTTCAGCATTCAAAGTCTCACTATTTAATTATTTTATTGCTTAATATAAGAATTAGTTTGGGATAGATTTGGCTTTAAATGTAATATCTCAATCTATTTTATTTCTCTGTTTTTTCTAAAATATTCTTATTAATTGTAAAGGGTTTTTACCAAAAGGATAATTTTAATAATCTAATACAAGTAATTGAAGAGAATAATTTAGAAAGATCAATGCATATTTATGACAAATAACCATTTTACCTAATTTTTTTAATATCCCCAAATTGGTTATCTATGATGTGGTATTTTATATAAAGCACTACTATCTCTTGTCCTTAATATAATAACTAGTATAACTTTAAATTTGGTCATAAATATAAAATCTCAATCCACTTTGTTTATCATATTTATTCATTTTTTCTAAAGTAGTTGTTGTGGTAGTTGTATATGTTAAATATTTTATGAAGTAATAGTTATAACTAATATACATAGTTAGCAAGAGTATTTTGGGAAAAATAATACTCCTCCGGTCCTTAATATAAGACCCATTTAACTAATTTGATTAGATTAAGGAAGTTAGGTAAGTTAGTTAATTATAAGAAAATTGACACATTTTTCCTAAAACACCATAATCATTTTTCTTAATACCCCCTCTCTCTTTTACTTAATTATGGTTGAGGAAGTATCTATAGGGGTAATTTAGAGAAAATTGATAAATATGAGAAATGGGTCTTATATTTAGGACCAAAACCAACTCAAAAATTGGGTCCTATATTAAGGACCGGAGGAGTACCTACTACCTCTGACATTGATATAAAAGTTAGTTGACTAATTTAAGTAGATTAAAAAAACTGGTCAAATTAGTTATTTGTAATAAATAGTATTTGTCTTTACTAGAATATCTTTGATAATCAAGTGTATTAGTTAGAATTATCATTATTATAAGGAGTACCTTGGAAAAAATAGACGAATATAAAAAACAAAGTGGATTGAGGTTTTATATTTAAGACTAAAATAAAAATCAAATCAGATAATATATTACGGACTAGAGATATTATTTATTACAAATAACTAACTTAACAAACTCATTTAATCTATTTAAATCAGTCAATTCTCTTTTATATTACGGACCGAAAGTAATATAAGAGTTAGTTTAATATTTAATTTAATCGTAAATATAAAATTCTAATTTATTTTGTCTTTTAAATTTATCTTTTTTAAAAAAATAATTATTATAATAGTTGCATATATTAAAATTTTATTAAATAATAATTCTAATTAATATACACAATTAAATAAAATCCCCCCCCCCCCCCTTCTCTCTCTTTGGCGTAACGATCAGGCGTAAACAGAGAAAGTCCCAAAAAGTAGACCTTTTCGCGTCAACACATGATAGGATGCTGCTTTAAAGGACCAATACTTACTAAAAGGTCTACTTTGTTGGGATAATTTTGGGAATTTGTTTTTTAAATATTCAATGTATTATATTCGGTTTTTAATGGGGGGTTCAGTTCTCAGGTCCTATAACCATGATATGATATTTGAATTTACATCAAATAATCTGCTTTCTGGGCGAAGTTATCCGAATTTGAAATACTCTTTTTATTCTATTTATAAATTATTTTCAGTATGTTTTAGATAGATTAAGAAAAATCTTAAATTTTATTAACTCTTATTTAAAATTCAATAATTTTTAATTTTATTTTTATTTAATATACATTATACCTCATCTAAATAAAATCAACACAATAATAAATGAAGAGTAAAGTTATATATTCATACAAATTTTTTTTTTAATACCTTATAAATAGAACTAAAAAAATATTTTTTTCTGTCTTATAAATAAGATAAAAGAACCAATAAATATTGAAAATGCATATGGTCTCACCTTTTCCCACAATTTTGGTTCTTTAAAGAATCTTCGGATGTTTGTGCATGTGGCCACTCGGCGGGTTCATGCTGCTGCGCCGCTATTAGCGGATGAAAAAGTGTGCCCCGATGATTCATTTATTCGTTCAGAAAGGGACCATATTTATTAGTATTCCTGTGGATAAGAAAGATAAGATATTTTTTACTTCTATTTGTAAGATAGTAATAGAAATTTTTTGTATAAATATACAATTTTACCCTTAATTTATTATCATGTTGATTTTTTTTATATTAGGTATAATATATATTGAATAGAAATAAAGTTAAAAGATCACTGAATTTTAAATAAGAGTTAACGAAATTTAAAGTTTTTTTTGATCTACGGGAAATATGTTGAAAGTGACTTATAAATAAAAAGAGAAGAGTATTTTGTACTGTTTTACTGTTATTTACTAATTTTCTTTTTTAAAAAAAGTACATACTAAGGAGGGATAAATTAAAAAGTTATTAAATTTTAATAAAGTTAATAAGATTTAAAATTTTTCTTGATTATGATCAAATACGTGGGAATTGATTAATAAATAAAATCAGAAGAATTCAATATGATATTTCTCAAAGTGGATTGTAGTCTTAACTTTTTCTTCCAAGTCCCGCTTGAACTTCTCAATTTTTGGTTATGCGAGGAGCAAATAATATTTTTAATATGTAAAAATTGATAACGAATCTCTCCAAAATTTGAAGATTTATGCAAAACAATTATTTTATTGTTGACTAATCCATTTTTTACCAATAAAATGTAATATGATGATGAATCAAGTTAAGTTTATGAAAGTGATTCAAATGTTCAAGACGCTTATTTGCACAGGAAAAGAAAAGCGCACTATCATTGACGTGCTACTTAACACGAGCTAGACATATGCGCAAATTAAAAAGTTTATAGAATATATTGTCAAATAAATTCAGAAATTATCTGCACATGATTCAAAATTTATAGGGGCATTGTGTTTTGTTCAATCTAGCTTTGTTCTTTGAAATTAAATAATTTATCTTATTTTATTTTTGCTCCAGTTACATTTTTTTCTCAATCTTATAATGATAAAATTAATATTCTCATTTTTAAGAATTGATCAGTCCTTGCCTATTTTCTATTCTAATATACTAACTCTAAGAAACAAGGGAAACGAATTAGTTAATTTTAAATTCATCAAGTTTTTACTAGAAATGAAGGTTATGGTAAATAAATATAATTATATCATTGACACGTTAATTCAAAATAAGACCTAATTGATTGATTAGACGGTGATGGATATTAAAAAGATATAAAAAGGTCAATTACGAAAGTAATTAATTAGCAACAAAATGTAAAACGGGAGATGAAAGTGAAAGTCATTTGTGTACGTACAATAAATTTCTTATCTTTTTTTTTCCTCTCATTTTCCGGGCAAATAAATGATAAACGTTGAGTACGAGGAACGAAAAAAACGAGGATAAGATTAGTGAATTAAACTTACTCGTGTTCATTGATTTTGAAACTTTTTACTGTAAATAAATCACTGCCCATAATATCCGTAATAAGAAAGAAATGAAGAAGAAATAGTGAATGAGTATTTTTTTTTAAAAAAAAAGTACTATCTGTAGTCTTTAATATAAAAGTTAGTTTGATTTTCAATTTTGTTCTAAAAATAAGATCCCGATTCACGTTGTCTCTCATATTTATCTATTTTTTTAACGTAGTTCGTATAGTAGCCGTACATGTTAAAGGTTCCATCAAATAGCAGTTCTAGCTAAACACATGATTAACAATAATATTTTAGAACAGATAACATCTATTTATTATAAATAACTAGCTTAACAAACTTTTTAAATCTATTTAAATTAGTTAATTAACTCTTATATTAGAAGTAGGATCAGACATTCATATTTGTTTATATAATTTTTCCGCCAATATATTTGTTTACGTCACTGTAAAACAATCAAAGTCTCCTCTATTGGGTCTGGGTGGTGCCAAAGCATAGGGCATTAGAGTAATCCTGAAAGTGGGAAGGCTGCCGATTGGAGCCTGATATCTGCAAATAAAAAGACAAATAAGAGACACTTTAATTTCAGGCCTAACTTTTCGTGACCTGTTCTCAAGATATTTACATTTGAGGCATCGAGTCAAGTAGCGTGTAAGTGGACTGGTAGGGAAGTTAGAGAAACTCTCAGCTGACAAAAAAAAAGGGTTAGAAAATCTCATCAAATCAGCTCAAAATATGTAGGGAAAAAGAACATTTCAAGAGGCGTGGTATAGTGCAAAGATCTTGTCAGTGGGAGTGAGATTTTTTCTGGTTTAAGATAGCACTTGAAATATCCGTCAAAGTGAAGTTCAGTTCCTACTCTGTGATAAAAGTGAATCTCAAGGTGTATGTATGTTATAAAAAAGTATATGTATGCGATCAAATCCTTCCTTTGATATTCAGTTTTTCTTTTACGTATCTAATTGCGATGAATCTGGATTTTTCCTTCCTTCTTTTTTGGACTTCTTACTTTATTTTCTTTCGTGGCTTTCGACCTGTTTGAAAGGGATGCCTCATTGCTTATTAACTTCCCACCACCCAGTCACGTTACGCACTTAAATGGGTATCTTTCGAGTAGTCCCAGCCATGTCTGTTCCTCTTAATTTTATCATCTGAAGTGCCGGTAGGATTTTGTTCGATTTCCCCTAAAGCCATAAGAGGATACGCGTTCGTGGGACATAATACTTTCCTTGTTTAATATTATTTTCCATCCTGAATATAAAAATTAGTTTGGCTTTTAATTTTATCTTAAATATAAGACTTCAATCTACTCTATTTTTCATATTTGTCTATTTTTATCAAAGTACTTTTTGTAATATTTACACATGTTAAAAATTTCATTATGGTAGTTTTAGCTAATACACATGATAAGCAAAGGTATTCTAGTAAAGACAAACTTAACTAATTTCTTTAATTTCTCCAAAAACCGGAGGTAGCACGTGAATTATATTTTCTCCGGTGAGAGTTGATCACATATTAAGACATGAAGGGAATATATTGAAGGATACTCTGTTGCAGCGGGCGAAGCGAAGCTCGCATGCCTTGGAGTTCTTAAATAAACCAAATGATAACACATAAAAGTGTCTTAAAATACAGCCTGCCAGTACTCTGGACGATTGAAACTTCATATACTAAAGCTGAAATTGAAAGTATATTTTCACTAGTCAATGGCAATGAACTGATATCTAATTTTACGATGATGAGCCTACATATATTATATATCTATCAAATTAATGGAATACGAATGCACCTTTCTCATGCAAGGCAAGCCTCAACCGCTTGAGCCTAGAAGTAAAAAAAAAGGGGGTGGTGTTGAATCTAAAGAAAATCTCGACAAAATTTGGAGGGACTCAGCCTCCCTATACTTGATGATTGTCAGAGCCCAGCAACTTCTCCTCTTCTCTTGGGATTTCCGTAAGCTGAACACTGGACCGAGTCATCTTATTCCACTCTTTTTCTACACGAAAAAACACCCATTGGAAACGCCGGCACATTTCCAGAGCAGTAACTGTAAACACTGTCAGGTAGTTATGGCGAAGATGGGCAGACAGTTTATATGTCCAGGAGCAGCGCAGGAGGAAGTTGCTTCCAATTACCCAAAAGTATATCTGCAAGTTAAAAACAACAAGACTTGTGAGAAGGAGGGATCTCTCCCAAGCAGTACCATACTCCAAGCAATGCCAAACCCTACAAAACTTGAGCCCAGGCCTAATTAACACAGGGTTAGGTATAAGGATTAAGGAATTCGGATTCCCTTCATTTAAGATGAAAAAATGGCTCTTTTTTACCCAATTCCTTGTCTTACCATCTAGCCAATGTACATGGGCTAAATTTCTTCTTTCATTGAAAATAAAAGTTATTCTTAATAGATATGAGCGCCCATATCAAGAGAACAGTCAAAATTTACTCAAAATGATAATGCTTTTCCCACCTAAAGTTGAGAAGGTCCTTAGGCGGGTTCAAGCCAAGTTGGGCCAAATACAGTCATGACCTTCTAATCCGTTGAAACTAAATGGATCTCATTCTTACCCATTTTCTCCCATAAAACAGGTTGGAAATCAGAGTTGGTTTGTTGAACCTGAATATGCGAGAAAAGTTACTGTAAAACAAGGAAAATGCATCTCAATATAGCTTGTGAAGCAGAGTGAATTTAACATGAAATGAAATGTGACATATTCAGCTGCAATTTTCAAGTGATTGCTATCTAGTCCAATGGAATCATGGCACATGGCGAAACTTTGTGCAGTGAATCAATAGGACACAGCTAAACTGTAACACATATATTGCTATCTAGTCCGGAATCATGGCACATGGCAAAACTTTGTTCAGTGAATCAACAGGGCACAGCTAAACCGTAAAACATGAATGTATCTTACATCTCAAACGGAGAGAGCTTAATATCAAGCATTGAAAGAATTCCATTTAAGTCTTATCCCCTATTTTCAAACCAACTTCCGGCATATAGCATGGATCAACCACCCTTCCCTTCTTCAATGTAGGTTATAACACGAGTTATCTTAAAAGTCAAGAAAACTGAATTTCTTTACATCATAAGTTCATAAAAAATAATAGTAGTTGTAGTATTTATAAATCTTCGAAAATTGCAAGGTCTGCTGCTCCTAGTCTGAAAGAAGAGATTACATGTGAGGTACCTTAAATCCCAATCTCGAGTAATATCCCAGTAGAATGAATAGAGAGAATTAACAACACTCGAGAGAAGCCAAAGTGGCCGATAAAGAGATGTCCACTTCTCAGGGAATACATGATATTTAAGGGCTGAAAGAAAAATCACTGGGAAAGCTGTTGAATATTTCAATGCTGAAAAACAGATATAATGGGAGTTAGAGGAAGAGTATGATGGGAATACCAAAGTTACAACCGTTAATCTAAATGGAAACTGAAAGATTCAAAATCAAACTATGTGCTATGCAAATACGCAATAAAAGATTCTAGCAGAAAAAGATAAAATGTGCAAATAATGGTAAAATTCTATACAAAACAGTAGAGAATCTTATAAACTAGGAAAATACCTCACTCAATGAATATAAAATAAAGTTCCTCGTCTGGAAAACTTGGCAAGATAATATTCATAAAAAACCAGCATTAAATACAGATGCGAATACAAAATACATATGGAGCCAAAAGGATTTTTTGTTTGGGGGCCGGGGGGAATTCCATTAAAACTTAGCTTTTGCACACAATAAAATTTTTATTTCATCTGTTGAAAGAAAGTGTTTCAAAAGCTAAGTCTTTAGTCTTTGCTTTGAACCAAATCCTTATAGCTTCAAAAAATCCAAGGTAAATTGAAAGAAAGTATAGCCAGGAAAAAGTATGCTAATCAGTTATAGGCACAAGGGAAAAAGTAACCAAGAACTATTACCATTAAAAAGGCATGTTCTTTCCTTAGTATCTTTGTACTGTCGAAGACACTGTAATAGACGCCAGAGATAAGGGAGCATGAGTACCATCGGTATTGCACTTGAATGGCTACCACAAACAGAATCAGCTTCAAGCCATGCAATTGTGGCAACCTGAATATCAATTTGGGGAAAAAAAAGAAAAAAAGGAAGCTTACATTCAAAGAGTCAAGTACTTCTTCAGGGCAAGAAATAACACCCCATAAACCTTGCGATTTTGATAAAAGTAACATCCAGAAAGACATTGCATGTCATTAGTGAACATTATATTTTGTATAGATAGCTGAAAGCAAATGAAAATAACAACCGGTGAGAAGAACAAAAAATACACCAATTTTTAACTTTCAGGCTCCACAATTAGTGTACTTTCCCAAATTTCCTGCCACTCTTATTGGCTGATATGCATTAGGCCCATAGCACTCAGGAGTTTCATGCTATGCTCATGCCTTATCCGCACTCAATTCCAAAGAGCTCTCCATGAAGCTAGTGCATTGTGTTGGATATTATAATAAAACCATCCAAATGCCTTCACTTAATAGCTTAAGCTTAATCAACTGTATGGTTGACAAACTAATAATTGTGTATCACTCAGCTTACCACTGATTATACCGGATTCATAAATGCCCGCATGAAGAGAGGGAGAATAAATGATAAATTGAAAATGCACATGTAAAATTGCATATTTATGCTGGAGAGATGACATAATTAGATGTGTTTAAATTTCAGATCACTACAATAAGATAAAATGGTGGATATATCATAGATGATGTTTTACACATGTGGAATGGATACTTGGACTAACAACAGTAAAAGGTAAATCAACCTAAAAGATAGATTCAACTCAAGAGACTGTAAGAAAAACATAGAATAACTCAATCAGTTTAAAGGATATATTAATTACCTGTCTGTTAACCATTCTACAAACCGAGCGCTCCAAATCTGAAAATACCTGTAAGCAAAGGTTAGCTCCCATTCAGTAACATAAAAGGCATCAAGATAGACCCAAAAAAAGGGTAAATTTACAATCTCTAAGTATTTAAATTGAAGAATGGTGACGTTTGAGATATGGCATACTTTGGGGGGAAAGCACCAAGAAAGCAACTATTATGTTATTTTTTGTACCTTTGCCATGGAAGTGAAAATATCAGCCACAAAAAAGTCAGGAAATGTTATTGGCTGCATGGAGAAATTGAAAAGATCATTATCTGTGCAGGTCAAAATAGGCATTACAAAAATGACATTCACAGGAAAATGACACAAAAAAAAATACATTACAAACAAGTAAAATTAGTTACAACGTAAAAATATAAAACCCATTAAACAATTTATATGTCATTTGAATGAGAAATTCACATTAAGAAACTAAGAAATTGGAAACCTAGATTGGATCTCGCAGGTGCTTTATAAAGGGAACAGGGCCGATAAAAAGTCAAAATTTCATATTCTACCAGCATAGACAAATGCAATGACCTAGCATGAAGGTTTGTTACTTGTTTGACAGGTTTTCGAACCAGATAAGCTGTGACAAAATCTACGCTTCTAACTGTAGAAGTATAAATTAGTACAAAAGCTTACCTGTAGAGGGAAAGCTATCCGCCACATTGTCCTTAAGAAGAAGAAACGAGATGACAAATAGAAAATATCGAAGGGAAAGATCAACACTATTGCAACAAAGATGTAAAGAAGCACCTGCAAATGTGCATGAGAAAGTCAGAACATATCATAGAAAAACAAATTTTCTTAAAACTGAAAATTTGCTGATATCTTTGAAAACTTATTTCTAGCTACTTCAAAAATTAACTAACATGTTTGATTTTTTTTTTTTTTCAAAATTATAATCAATAACTGCCCAAAGTCGGTAAGAAAATTAAAAAAACGAAAAGCATTATCTATGAAACAGAAAGAAAAAGTAGACTAAAACAGGCAGATAAAACAAATCCTCTTCAAGTAAGGTTGATAGTTTTACAACAACGAAAAAGCAAATGAATGCAATATCTAAGTAAAAATGTAATTCAATTAACTGCAAGAGTAAAAGAGAGAAAGCTACGAGCAAAACAAGAGATAGAGCAGATATTACACTGGTTGTGAAGCAGCCAATGATACTTCTCCATGAGAATACAGATAGAGATAAGCAGTCATGCTACTTGGGACAATGATTGTCATCCATATACTACACTGCAAATAAAATACAGAGTAGCAGCAAATGTTAAAACAAGATAACATGTCCATAGCGCTAGCATTCCAATGGGGTTAAAAACAAATGGTACTATTGTCACGACATCAGTTATTTCTATTTTTAATAAATATTTCAAACAAAGATATCACTAACCTTTAAGATTCATTTCAAGTATGTTACTTCCATAATGTTCATAACATCGCCTTTAAAGCAATCAGCATGAAAGAAAATTTGAGATATTGCTTTCAAGAAGCGACCAGAATAAAATTGTCACATGATAGCTAAACAATATTGCTTATTGCCAAACCTAGAGACAAGCATTATATTGCAGAATGAACATGCACATAATAAATTTAAGGCTGTACTCTCCCATCTGTACACACATAACTGTGAGGCAACATTGACCTATAAGATATAGGACTGGGTTAGCATCTGATAGTGTTAAAAAGGATGCTATGGTGAAAATGGAACATAAGAGAAGAATTATCTGTTTTCTTAAATGGTTCAGTTCTAATAATAACTAAAGAAACAGACCCAAAGAAAACAATCTTGTCATATTCGAAAATTCAATCTCTAGAGAATAGGAAAATGCTGGGATGTATAACTGTCATCAGTGACTATCTTGTTGCTGAATTTCACTTTTTCTGCAAAGCCAAGGTCAAACTACAAATTACATAGTAAGTTTAGCAACCAGCAACTTCAGAAACATACAAGGAAACATCCAATCCAAATGCATATCAATATGCTGAGATAATTTCGAATATTCATACAATTAGATCATCAAAGTGGCATGAAACTTTGCTCCAAATCCTACAATCTACTGTAAAATAAAAAACTATCTTTCTTCAAAGGACAAATTAATTTGGCCTTGCATTAGCTAGTTGTTGTTGTTGTATTCATATGAGATATTCACATTGTCTCCAAACTGAAGAAAAAGAAGCTGAGTACCTTCCATATTTCATTGTGAGTAAGATGGTTTTGATCCAGATCAAAAACTTTTGCATAGCTTACATTGGACTGTGAAAAAACCCACAAGTTCACCCCCCAAAGCCAGACCATCATAGTCTGTAATAATAACAATTAAATTTATTAGGTACGATGTTTTGAATAGACAACATATGCAGGATAATTAACTTCAACTCACCACAAGAAGAAGAGGGTTATAATACAAAAATGCCTCATATATAAAAAGATTTCGCAAATTTGCATCCATTCGCATGACAGAATCCCATCCAACCTGATGCAAAGGGAGGAACTAGATGAGTATTAGGTCATAAATAGTTAAACTGATGACAGCGGATTTTTCACAAGAGTAACTCATTGGCATCCATGGAGACCAATAATATTACAAAAGCAAAAAGGGGCAAACTCTAACCTTACAACAAATAAAGCCCCACGTCAGAAAGAGTAACACCTGAGAAAATCAATCAGGTAGGTTTAGAAATCACAGAAGTTAGCAAACTACATAAGTTTTAAAGCAAGGTATTCACTATCAACATAAAGATTAATATAATCAATTTGACCAAAAAAATCAACAAATCAACATCAGTCCAAAAGTGAGCTGGTTATAGTTCTCTTCCATAAGGTTGAGATTAAGCCCATCTAACATGACTGAGGAACACTGGAGTCGAACATAGATGCTGCAACAAATGCAAATTTGGAGATTAAATAAATACAAGACAGAAAGTTCTTGGCAATCAAATATTATAGAATGAGCTGCTCTAAAGATATCATTTTAAATAGGAAAGACCCTCAAATAAAGTTCTATGTATAGTTGAACCTAGTAAGCATGTAACTTAAGTTTTATATGGTACCAAACAGACATACAAGGTCTGAACGACAGGCAGATGAATTAATGAATATATTAACAAACCTTAAACCTCCATAGAAAAAGAGGAGAGGGCATAGCACTTTGAATTGGTGAGGTTAAACTCTTCATTTCATGAGAACTCTGTTATTCGACAATCTTATTAGACAAAATTGTTGACCCTGCTCGTTTCTGAAACAAAATGAACAGAAATTGAAACGCATTAAAGCTCATCAAAGATTGTTTGAATACCAAATGATAGACAAGCATAAAGGATCGTATCATGCACATAAAAAAGGAAAGTTGGCATAAAATATAGCATCTGAACCACCACAACCAAAGCTCACATTGTCAGCCAAACTTGAAGCATATCAATAAAACTTACCAAGGTCCTCCTTTCAATGTAAAAACTCAAAATCATTGGTTGTTCTAAGGAATATTTGTTCTCCTTAAGGCCAAAAAGGCAAAGACTACAATACATGTGAGAGGAAGTTAATGTGGAGACTGAAGTGCTATAAGGCAATCTGTGAAGCCAAAGTTGTATTCCCTGAGAGGAGAAAACAAGTGAATCCAAGAACTCCCAAATGGGCAAGGAACGAACTTACTAATTTCCCAAGACTAAACCTCACAGAGTTCAAGGAATAGGGAGGGAATCTTTATGATAATGCTTAAGATAGCTCAAAATTCTGAACAAAGAAAAAGTTAAAGTTTTCCTTCATATGACTTCTTGAAGCGAGTTGCTTTACTTTAAATTTCCTAGTAAGTCCGAAACTGAAATAAATGGAAACAGAGGACCCATTAAATACAAATCCAACAACCTCAACCCATTTTGCGTTCCGTCCACAGAAAATAAAACACAAAAAAGTTGAAATTTTGAAATGCCATACAGTTGGAGCAAATTTATTGCCAATTCTTCAAAAACTTAGGCTTCACATAAAATAAATCCACATGAAAATGAAACCAAAAAAATTTCCTGCCCACACGATTCCGGAACAAGGAACAACAACAGAAACATAAAAGTCCATGCATCTGAAGGCATCAAGGCCCAAATTTGCCAATTACCCAGCATGCAAACAGCTCTACAACCTCTTGAGATATTAACAATTTACAGGTAAACACAGTGCAACAAGAACAATCCAGGAAAAGAGAAGTTACCACAGATCAACTCCTACAAGAGGAAGCAATGGAGCTAGAGTGCAGATCGATCTCCGGTTGGTGCGCTTAAACGATTGGGGACATATGAGTATTTGTCGTGTCCTGGTCCGCGACTCAGATCTCAGACCAGAATTACGGGAATTTGGTTAGGCGCGAAGGAGGCTTCATGATATTAGGAGGGAACGTCAAAGGTAATGTCAATGATAAAGCATGTTGCTTGCATTGCCGTTAACAAGAAATTTAGGAATTGAAGAAGACTTAATTACCCACTTCGCCGTCGTTTGTGTTAGAAAATATTGACAGGAGTTCAGAGCTTTGCAGGAATTGGAACTTTCAAGTTTTACTGCGGTGAGATTACTTTGCCCGTTATCTTCACTTCCTAGCGCCTTTGGGAGGGAATGGTTAGCAGACAGCGTCTGTTATAGAAAAGGGTAACAAACCAATGTTATGAAGAATAAGGTGATGAGCTACATGGCACAGGCTTTGAAAAAAAAAAGTAATTTAGAAATATAAAAATATGATTTTATTTAATTTTTTCGCAATCAAATTGATTTTTTCATAACCCATGCATCCATATATAAATTCGAAGTCATAACTTCAACTAAAATACTTGAGGTTATTTATTTGAATTCCCGACAATGTACAAGTCAAAGAAATTTGTTTACGGAAGTTCCAAATTGGATGGTGTTTTTTTTTTTTTTTTGGGAGGGTGTTCTGCGTGTGTGTCTCTGGTTTTTTGGGGAAAGGCAGGGCGCGAGTGGAGTGGTTAAAAAAAAAATTGCTGACATAGTTTTTCAGTAGAATAATGATAATAGCAAGCATTCCTATTGTTTTTGTTTAGGCGCTTTCGAAGTGGGACGCGTCCGTTTTGTCAACTCGTAAATATAACAAATCTAATATTCCTACTTTCGGTCGCCATGGCGAGCTCAGAAGAAGCGAAGCTCGCACGGTTCCTCCAGTGGCTACAGGTTGCTTGACACAGTTTCAATCAGTAATAGAGACAGGGATATTTTGTTGCGTTGGTTATTTTAAATTTGTTGGGTTTTGAATTTAGGGGAATGGAGTTCAACTTCATGGTTGCAGCATCAAGTATTGTGATTCCAGAAAAGGGTTTGGCATCTTTTCAACTAAAGATGTTTCCGATGGTAATCCGAATCTTCCAAACACTTCAATCAAGTATATTTAGAGATCATTTTAAATATATGTGGCGGGGGTCATCTTACCATTGCTTTGCTTGTTCTTCGCCCACTAGCTGAGAAAATGTAAAGTTGGTGTTGATTGAAGGATTTGAGCTCTAAACTTGAAACTTTGTCATTGATGGCTAAACCTAGAAATTGGAGCATTGGATGTGTAATTCTGCTAGCGTGTCTTTTTTGGAATTTTGAATGTACACGTGCTTCTTTTGGGTAAAAAATAAGCTATCTTTAATGCATACGCCTGGTGTATGGAGCATAAATAAGTAGTCTTTCTGGCTGATAGTAACGATAACAAACTTGCATCATAGTTGATCAATTCGTGAAAAGCAGATCATTTAACCTGCTTGTTTCAAATTAGATTTTCTGGAAAAGCATTGTCAGTCATCGCCATAAGACGGTTTTTAGTTGTAGCTATACATATATTATGACCAGAATGATACAAGTTGCATTTGGCTGCAAGCATTCTTAATCAAAGGAGGAATTTTTATTCGAATTTTCAAATTGAAGTGGGCAAAGTATCAGACATGTGTTCACCGAGGGGGGGAAAAAGGTATCAGATAAGTAAATCCTTGTCACGGGTTGATGTATTCTTCCCTAAATATAGGGAATTAGACTAACTAATATAGGAAATACATTTCCTGGTGATATTTGCTTGAAACATGATTCATTAAGTTTGATTAGATAACATACGATATATTTCGATGCAACCATCTCAAAGTCAAGCAATGCCTGCTAAATGCATTTAGTTTAATGCTACCGTATAGGACTCTGTCTAATTTTTTAAGTCTATACTATGCTGTGAAAAATGTGACAAATGTTTCTGAAATAGGAGTTCATGAGTATATTTCCACCTAAAAAATATCTCCTTTCTATTAGCTCTTGAAAATAGATCAAGTGGTGTTAAATTCTCCATGAAGCAGGGGTTCTACTGGTTGTTCCGCTGGATTTAGCAATAACTCCAATGAGGGTATTGCAAGATCCTCTTCTCGGTCCCGAATGCAGGGCAATGTTTGAAGAAGGAGAAGTAGATGACAGGTTCTTGATGATTTTGTTCTTGACTATGGAGCGCTTGCGTCATAATTCTTCATGGAAGCCGTATGTTTGGTTGATTATGTTTGACTTTTAGTTGATGGTTTTGCTTTATTCTTTGTCATGAGTTTTACTTGTGGAAAATGAATTCAGGTACCTTGACATGCTTCCAACTAGTTTCAGAAATCCACTTTGGTTTAGTGATGATGATCTTCAAGAGCTGAGGGGAACAACATTGTTCCGTGCTACTGAATTGCAGGTGATTTATCTTCTGATCGATAATTTGACAACAATTAATTCTTTTAATAAAACTTATGCTTCTCTTGCCAATTCAAGGACATATCGTGATATAGAAAAGGGATGATTATGAATTTTTGACATATAGGCAGTAGACAGCTGATGTCTATGTTTAATTTTCAAATTTCTTGTAGTAGTTTTGTGCTTTCTCCGTGCTTAATGTTACTAATTAGAGTCTGCATTTGGTTGGTTACTTGAATAGTTGAATGGCATAGGAGGAATCTGTAGTTAATTTTTCAGGTTATTGAGAGTTTACATTCATACTTAGTGCAGAAAGGGATAACATACAGAGTGGGCTATAAGAATCAGCCAACGTCTTCACAGAAGTAGGGAGCAAAAGGCAAAGTAAATGGGTGCCTAACAAAATCTAATAAAGTATGAAATAAAAAAAGGAGAAATCAGCATTGAATTTGCTCCACAAAGACCCCAAAAAAAAAAAAATTAGTGGACCATGGTTCCTATCACACCATTTGCAGAAGGACTAGGTCTAATTTCCTGAGGTCACCTTATTCATACAGCAATCTTAACTGGCTGACAGAAATTATGATCAACATGGGAATAGGAAGTGGTTTGACAGAAATTATGATATCTGTGGTCACAAGAGAGACAAACAGATCAACAGAGGTGGCGGAGTACGCCTGTTCTAGAAGAGTGGCTGCCGGCTTTAGTTTATCAAGGCCTTATGAGAGCAGTGAAGGGGTGTATGCTGCCTTCTATCATACAAGAATGTAGATTCCAAAATGTGGAATTTTTTGTGATATTTTTGCATAGTATGTGGGTATGAATCAGGCCTCTGTGGGCTCCTATGCCATGAAGATTTTCGGACTATTGAGCGTTTGAAGTCTGTCTTACTGGAAAAAAAATGGGATTACGTATGTTTAAAGAGAGTAGGCTACAAGAATCAGCCAATCACTCCGCATAACTAAGGAGCAGAAGACAACAAAATAAATGCCTTATAAAGATATAGCAGAGAGTTACAAGGAAGAAGGCTGCATTGTCATCTACTCCATAGAGGCAAATAAAAAAAATAGTATGGGAATAATGTGCAATAAACACGGGATTCCAACTGTCTTGATGAAGTTCTGAACTTTAAGCAGGAATGCATAATTGTAGTACTGATACAAGAACCAGTATGATCGTTACCCAATCCCAAATACCAAACTAGTCTTCTAGTGCTGATTTTTGTGATGTGATAGAGATCTCTATGGTTCAAATTTTGGTTGATTCAGTGTTTGAGATAAATATGTCTATTATGATTAATGTGGTCTGGGAAAGAACCAGATGTCAATTCTGTCACAAGCTTTTTCCTATCTCACTTAATAGCACATGTGAATTGGTTCATCTTGCAGAAGAAAAACTTGCTGTCGTTGTATGATACCAAAGTCAAGGCTTTGGTGAAGAAGCTCCTGATTCTTGATGGATATTCAGAGACGTATGTATTGGGTGACTTGATGTAGTCTGTCTTTATTAATGGGTTATTTACACTTGACATGATTCCTGCCTAGTGGAACTAGGCTTCTTTTGTTGTTGTTGTATTTACATTTGAGAAATTTAAAGTATTATAATCTGTGGGTAGTAAGCATTGGCTTTTTATTAATAATATTAATTTTGTTGTGGGGACTATGATTTTGACATTCCTATTGTTCTACAATGTTGTAATTAATTCATTTTTTACTAATTTACCTGATATGAGAACCATGGAACTGCCTAGCACTCTGTAAGCTGTGCGTGTGTGTGTGTGTGTTTGGCCAGAATAAGATGTGTTTTCAAATAGTCGTTTCTTAGCTAAATTATAATCTTATACTAAAACTGCTTCCTTTCTGTCTCATCTGTTTCACTAGTGATGTGTGCTTTGAAGATTTCCTTTGGTATGTGCTTCTCATGAACCTTTACTATTACATCAAATAATTAATCTTTATAGCTTTTAGTCAACTATCAGAACTTCTACCCTTGGAGGCTAACAGCAGATTCACCTCAATGCTAGGGCAAATTCAGTATTCTGGAGTCGTGCTTTGAATATCCCTTTTCCTCGTTCTTTTGTATTTCCGAAAATGCAAACACCTGACAGTTGCATTTCAGTCAATGGAAGTGTCAAGACTCTAATTAATGGTGAATATGGTGATAAAACAAGTCCATCATTTTCCTATTTTTTAATTATATTCTGGTTTATTCAGTTAATTTGAATGATCCTCTTTCAGCCTTTGCTGAATATAAGTCATCATGTTAATATTGGCAAGTTTCATTTCAGAAAGCCAGGTTGAAAAATCTGATGATGAAATCAATGAGATGGCCTGTAACAAAATACAGGGAGACCTAGTTTGGGTGGAGGGTCTTGTCCCGGGCATTGACTTTTGCAACCATGGTAGGTTGTTTAATGAAATCTATACATTTCAATTCACTTAATGTGTTTTGAGCCCCTTTCTTTTTGTTTCTCCATTTGTTAAGTTCTTCTGATTTGCCCCTTTTAAATTTAGGGTTTAGATATAGCTAGAAGAAGAAAATTCCATTCTCATAGACAAAAGTCATTCCTAGACTTTCACCTTTTTCTTGGGTTGTTGATTGGCTTTCTGATGAACATCTGTAAACTTGTGCTATTATCATGGATAAGACTTATTTATTACATTTATTATACACCAAAACAAGGAGCCTTTGCTGTTTTTCTTTCTCTACTTCCGCAGATCCCTTTCTTTCAAGCCCGTGTCTAGATGGGTTTGCTTTAGTGGTTGTATTCTTCTGTTTTTCATGGTAATAATGGTGTCATGTATTACTTATCTCTTGGATCCTGCTCCAGAAGGAAAGTTGAAAATTAGAAAGATGTCAGATAAATGTCAATTATTCCTTCTGTTTGACA